ATCCTCACGTGGCCCCCGCAGACCCCCGCCCTCCCTGGGCAGCCTGGCCCCTGCATCCCCCAAGCTCAAGGGGAGGCGACAGAGCACACCCCCACATCCCCAATGGCCGTGGGGCCTGGCCCCCGCTGACCTGCAGCCGAACCTCCTTTTCCACCTCCTTCCGCATCTGGGCCTTGATCAGCTCCAGGTTGCAGCCCTGCTGCACCGACTCGCCCGTGTCCCACTCCCCCCAGGTGGCTGCAGAGGAGGAGGAGGAGGCGGAGGGGGCTGGTCTGACCCTGCCGCATCCCCTATCCCCTCTTCCCACCGCCCCCGCAAGCCACTGGAGCTCCGGGCACCCCAGGCACCCCCAGGCACCGCATGGGAGGCATTGGCTCGGTAACGCCGCATAGCACCTGCCCCCAGCCCCCTCCCTGCACAGCACCGCGGTGGCACTGGGGTCCCCTCCCCGAGCGACACCCTGTCGCCCGGCTGTGCCTCGCCAGTGCCTGCCCCTTGCATGCGGGGGGGGGGGGGTCAATGCTGGCCACGGGCACCGCTCTCAGCCCTGGGACCTGCATCCCCACAGCCAGCCCGTCTGCAGCCTGGGCCACGAGGAAGCGCCAGGCACAGGAGACCTGGGCGGCCAGGACAGGAGACCCTGCCAGGGGTTGGTCCAGGTCATCGTTGCAGAGGCCTCCCTTGGTTCACAGTGCGGTTGTGGGTGTGAGCGGGTGTGCGCACAGGCGGTGTGCTCCTCCCACCCCGTCCAGCCCCTTACCCTGGTACTGCATGAAGCCCGTGTTGATGACGGGCAGGAAGCTGGAGGGAGGCAGCATCAGACTTGCAGCTTCCTCCTGGGAAAAGCCCCAAGCGCAGGGAGTCGCAGGATGCACCGGGGAGCCCGCAGGGAGGAGCGGGGACAACCCTGGTGCACGGGGAAGGGCAGGCGGTACTTCCTCCCCTGCAGCCAGGTGCTCACCGGTTTCTTGTCCTTCTTCTTCTTGCCTTTTTTCTCCTTCTCTTTCTCCTTCTTCTTCTTCTTCTTCTCCCCCTCTTCTCTCTCCAGCTGCTCCAGCTCTTCTCTCACCTGCAGGCCCCCAGCATGACCCTGCTGGACCGGGGCGCCCCGCAGGACCCCAGCTCCCAGAGGGCTGGCAGAGATGGGGGCCATAGACCCCCATGTGGTCCGCCAGCCTGGTCCTCCGCCCTGACGCCATGGGAGGAGGGCCCCAGGCACCCCTCCCTCCCCCATGCTGAATGTGCGGCACCCCACCCCAGGGCCAGCTTGCAGCCAGCTGCCCCCCACCCTGGTCACTACTGCCCCTCTGGCCTGGCGCCCCGTGACCTGCTCAGGGGTCTTCTCTGCAAACAGGATGCTGGAGCCCCCCACGTCCTCGTCGGGGTACTCTGGGAAGTGCCCGGTCAGGTCCCTGCGCGAGGGGGCCCTACAAGCATGAGCGCCCGCCGGTGGGCGAGGGGGAGGGTGGAGCAGGGGGTGGGGGCGATGCTCCGGGGCCCACCGGCACTCGAGGAACCACTGGCGCAGCTGCTCCTTCATGGCCTCCTGCAGGCTGGGCCCCTCGAGGTCCAGCAGCAACGCCCGGGTGCTGGCCAGCGCCTGCTGGTACTCGGCCTCACGGTCCGCCTGCCGCAGCCGCCGAAAGTCCTCGCCCAGCTGCGCCCGCAGCGCCACCGCCGAGAGCCCCGGGGCCGCTGGGTCGGAGACCTGCGGGGATGCCATGGGGTGGGGGCACCACAACGACTGGAGCGCGAGACCGGACACGGCGTGTAGCGACCAGGGCCCCAGCTGCCAGCACCTGCCTGTCCAGGGCCTACCGCCCCGCGCCTGCCACGGCTGGCTCGTGTCTTGTGGCCCCGGCTCTGCTGCAGAGATGGGGCCCCGTCCTGCCCGGCCCCTCCGCGCGGCGCCCGGGGCGGTGGGGGTGAGGAGCGCCGGGCCGGCCGGCACGGAGTCGATTACCCGTAATGAGTCCGTAATATGCATGTGCGGTGCTTCCCGCGCAGCCGCGTCATCACAATGGCACAGGCACTTTCCCGCCTCATTGCCTCCCAAATGGATTTTAAATATCCTTCCGAGGACACAATTATTTAAAACGCTGAACTAAACACTCGCTAATGGGAAACCACGTGCGGCCCCTGCCCTGCGTGGACGCAGCACACACGCCCGCTGCCCCGCAGCACTTCCTCCCCCACACCAGGCACCTGGTCAGCTGCAGCCAGCGGGCCCGAGCAGAGCCACGGAGACCCCTGCCCGCCCAGAGCAACAGGCTGGGGGTGCAGAGCGGGGAGGATGGATCGGGGCCAGCAGGCCAGGCAGCCCCAGCCCCAGCCGCACATCGACGGGGCAGGGAGCGAGGTCGGGTGCTCCTGCTCCCCCGGGACCGACAGAGGCAGCAGGGACAGCCCCGCAGAGCTCGCACGGTGCAGCGACCTGCCGGCTCGCAGCACCTTCGACCCCTGCACCAGCCGGGAGCGCCGGGGGCTGCGGCCTGGCAGCTGCAGGCTCAGGCCGGCTGCCAACATCCCTGGCAAGGCGCAGCCAGCGCTGTGCAAACAGGCCCTGGGTCCCCGACTGCGGCCAAGCCTCTCCTGGCCCCCGCCTGGAGACCCCCTTGCCACCTCCTGCCCCCACAGCACTGGCCAGAGTTTTCTGCAGCCCTGCCCAGGCCCCCAGAGGCAGGCGGGGGGGTGGGGAGCAGAGCGCCGGGTGGGTGCGGGCTTCGTGCAAGGGGTGCACCCTCTTGGCGGGGATGGGGGGCGGGGCAGGGGTCAGGCTTCATTACCAGGCCAGCTGCCCTGGCTGCAGCCCCTCGGCCACTCCAGCCCTGCAGGGAGCGGGCCCCTGAAGGGTGCTGCAGCCATGCAGAGGGGTGCAGCGGGCAGACTCCCGGGGACAGGAACACAAGACCCCAGCCCCACTGGCCTGGGAGCTGACCACCGCGGCTGCCGGCACGCCCCACTGCCAAGGGCGTGGGGTCAGGGGTCCTGTGCCGCCTCCATCACCTGGTCGCAGCCCCCGGGGATGCCCCAGTCCCGTCGCTTGCGGCCGTGGAGCTGCCCCCGCCCTGCAGCCACCTCAGGCTCGAGGGAGGCCAAGCTGCCGGGCAGGCGGCTGCCAGCAGCCCCGTCCGGACCAG